GGATGAATTAATATTGTTCTAGCCAATACATTAAGCTGACGACTGTTCGATCAATATCAATCTGTTCACATTTTCATGTTCGACTTTAATAAAATTTTCATCATAAGTAAAATGCATTAATAAGCGTTGAACAAAATATCTAGAAAGTATCGCATTTTTCGAAACTAAGCCTGAATCACTTCATCTATTATGAAACTTTTGCCAAGTCTCACTGCGTGAAAAAACGCAGCCCGGGCATGAAAGTCCTGAGAAATATTATGCCATTTACGATTTGGAACTAAAAGGTTGTTGGGTGTAGATACATATTTAAATATTTTAATGTTTATTTCGTCATATAAAGACTGCATCCTGTTTGAAGAAATTACAAAAAAAAAAATTTATTTGAATATGCAGTAATACCGGTATATTTTGTAAAATGACATGCCGACAAAATATTGAGGATTCTGACAACGAATCAAATGATTCTGAAGAACAACAATTAGAAGCCGGAGAAGAAGATGAAATGATTCTTCTTGGATTAAGTTCTTTATTAGATTCTCGTTATTTAGAATCACATAATTATAATAATATTGTTAAATCTCAAGTGTGGTGGCACTTAATTATTCTTAAATATGATGCTGTTAGATTTAAAAAAATTATGAGAATGGATCCTCAAAGTTTTCAAAATCTAACAACCAAAATTGAAACACATTCAATTTTTCATTCAATTAATAACAAATAACAAGCTCCATTTCAATTACAATTAGCTATTTTTTTTTTTAAGGAGAATAAGTTCAAAGGATAACATTTTAGTTATATGCTCTCATTTTGGTATTTTACAGGATGCTGTTTTTTAATATTTTAAGAGAGAGTTATGATAGTTATTTTTTCATTACAAATTTTCTAATTATATTGCTAATAGGAAAGAAAAAAAGGTTTAAAAATATTGGAAGATTTAATAAAGTTATTTATGCTATTATCCATATAACTGCTTTATTAAAACAATCTAAAATATATTAGAATCATAAAAAAAAAATTCTTTCAATATTAAGATATTGATTATTAAAGTATTTTTATTGATTATGAAATAGAATAACCAGAATCAGTTTATAATGCAAAAGTTTATTAAAATTTTTTTTATTAAAATATTTTTACATTTATAAAAAATGTAATTATTACTTGAATATTCATCATATTTATTATTTAATTTTTTTAATAAATCTTTTAATAATTCTGAAAATAATTTATAAATACAATTTAATATTATTAATTCTTTATTTTATGTAATAATAAAAAATGCTTTAGTAGATTTAATTTATTTTTTTATATTAAATATAGCTTTAGTTAAAAAATGATCAAAAAAACTATTTTTTTAGTTTGCAAAAATCAGATCACTTATTAGATTATATAAATTTATTAGCTAATAATAATTAATTTGAAATCTGATCTGAACAATCTAAAATAAATAGGCATATTATTTGTAAAAATAGAATTTATAGCTATTTTTCTAATTTGTCTTTTTTATTAAAGTTAAAAATAATTCCTAAAAACAATTTCTGATTTTTAAAATTTTAGAGATTCAGTGATTTATAATGATTTTTAATATTGTAAAAAATATTTTATTCTATAATTTATTTTCTTCTTATTTCTAATTATTTTTAATTTTAAATGAAGAATTTAAAAAGAATAGTATTTTAATATTAGTATTTTTTTTTATTAACTTTTTATTTTTAAAAAAGAGTTTTATTTTTTAAAAAAAATAATTTATATAGCCTTTTTTGTAACTTGATAATATAAAATAAGCAGTATTTTTAATAAATAAGTTATTTCCAAATTTTTAATGCTTTAATTTTAATTAATTAATAAATTATCTAATAAATATTCTTATATACAATCAAATCTCTATATAATCACTTAATCAGTTTCCTAAAAACTGGGATTATATAGAAATATGACTATAAAAAGGTAACCTTTATATAATTACAATTATATTAAAAAATTATATATAATAATTATATAAATATTATTATTAATAAAATATTAATTAATTTTTAGAATACTTTAAAAATGTAATAATAATCAATTTTTAATAAATGTAATAATATTTATTTCAGAACACTTTATTAAATGTAATGTAAAATTATAATACATTTAAATACATATTAATCAACCACTAAAAAAACTTGTAATTGAAACTTACTTTTGAGATTACAGCTCAAGTCATTTAATCATTTTAAAATAATTATTAAATATTTTTATATTTTTTACATAAAATTTATCTGTTTGCTGTTATTTAAAAAATGTAATTCATGTTTATAAAGATTTAAGATTATTATTTAAAGATATTGGTATTTGTTCTTCTTCAAAATTACTATTCTTATTATTATTAATATGCAATCTTTTAAGATTACAACTGTTAAATATAGTATTAGAGAATTGATATTTTTATAGTTTATGTATAAATTTATATTAATCTTAGTTATCTTATTATGAGTTTTACTAAATTTACTAAATACAAGTAGCTTTAATCATAAATTAAAATTTTACAATAGTCACAAAAGTTTTATGTTAAGAAGTTTTTCTATTTTTTATTTTAACTATTATAAAAATGTTTTAAATATTACATTTCTGCTGATCTTGAATTCAAAATTAAATATATAGATTTTCTATTTATATGAG